GCCCATCATCGCCGCACTCGATGAGAATCATCTCAGCGCATCCCGGTGAGGGCAGTAGCACTTTTCTTGCCGGAGACCGCCGAACTGCAGACGCTGTCGCACAGTTTTACAAAGAGCTCCGGCGAGATTATCTCCCGGCATTCGAGCGGGTCTAGTTTTCTCCGGCAGCTCAATTTAGGGCATTTTATCTCTGTATTATACCCTTCGACTCTTGCTTTGATGTGACGGCCGATGCACTTCACCCGCAAAAAAATTATTGGAAATTTTAGAAGACAAAAATTGAATTAATTAATTAATTATATGTATATACATACAGTTAAACATCTATAAATTAATACAGTCGGGACTAGCAAAATTCTATTAATTTAGCAAAATATTAAATTATCGAACTAATAATTTAGTAGGTTTTTACCGAGTCGGGATCAGAAAAAACTACTATTTAAAGGAGGTTATTAATTTATCGAGATTCTACTGTATATATATGATATATACCTTAGTGCAAATATTGTGAACATATGCATACGAATTGCCATGGCGAAACTTCTGAGTTGACAGTGACCGTTCATCGCAAATTTCACAGGTGAACGAAGTTAGGGTTCCGATTGCCTTCGCAGCCTTGTTGCCCATGATGCTCTGTATATTATGCTGTGTACGAAAGCTATACTTATATATATATATATATATATATATATATATATATATATATATATATATATATATATATATATATATATGTGGACTTTTTTATTTCCTTTCTATTTCCATCCTAATTAAGAGACTTTCCATTCACCACCATATTATCGATCGGGCCAATTTGCTATATAGTAAATTTTATGTATATAAATTCAACTAATAAATTTCTATTTTTATTAAATTTATTGTTCTTATTGTGTCTGAAATACCCTAATAATATATGGTAATAAAAACCCCATTTTATAAAACTTTTTAATTCTTGATTTTATCCCCAAAAGATAATCAACCCCTCCGCAAAATCTCCAAAATTCCAAAACCACCAAAAATTTCAATTCTCTCCCAAAGAAACCACCGCAAATTACTCACGCTAAATGTCTCCTATAAATCGCTGCAAATCGCAAACTCTAGCTACGGATTTATCCCAGAAATGTTTTGTATAAGAACCCAGTAATCATTTGTTGTTTCGTTAATTTTCGTTCATTATTTTGGTGTTAATGACGATTATATCTACGTTTTGATGTTTGATTTCTCAATTGCCTCGTAACACCACAACGAATGACTTAAATAGCGAAAAAAGTGCTAGTAATCTTAAAAGGAACACATCTATCTACCATAGTTTTGTCTTCCAAAATAAAAATGAAATGGGCAAAAAATAAATTATGTTTATACAGCGCGTCCTTTCATTTGGCCCGACTCTGATACCATGTTGAATGATCAACTCAACTAAAAGTTTAAGCTATTATTGAAATGTATCATTTAATATTAATATCTCCAATATATTCTTAATTAGTTTTCTCAATAATCTTCTTAATATTATTTTCTATACTAACTATAAAAGTATGAATAATTGGTGATGGTTTCTTCCCTTTTTTGTGTGTCCAATATTACCCTTTGGCCAATAGCTTATTTGATGGATAATATGGTAAATAGATATTACAATAACAATAATGTATATCTATACAACTACTATGAAATAATATTTACATATTACATGTGTTGGCGCCATATTTCCGGCTATTGAAGATCGAGGAAATCCGCCAAGTTTTGGAATTAAAAGATTGGCAAAGATTTGTTTTCCATATTTATTTTGGAATTTATTAGAGTCCTATGCTCATAATACTTCTATTAGGACTTAGATTTATTTCCATGTATTTTATTCTAGTTAGGTATCTTTTGTACTTATCTAGAATAGAAGTAGAAATCAACTAGGATTCTATTACCTAGTTAAATAGATTTCTTGGGGTTCAAGTTAGTTCTTAGGGCTTATTTTCGTGGCTATATAAGCCTCCAAGACATACAAGAACCGTAGGCATTATTTGGGAGAAAAACCTCTTCATAGCATCGAAGTTTTGCCAAGGCGTTCTGCGGAGCAGGACTGTGCCATCGTTGCACTGTGCCAACATATACAGATTTGCTGTATAGATCTCAAGGGAGATCAGCCGCGTTTTTTGAAGGGAGTTCAGGCTTGAAGAAAGTTCAAGGCACGCGGGTGGAGCTGCTGTTGGAAGAAACACGAAGTTCGAGTTGTGTACAAGAACGGCATATTACATAAAGAGGGAGTCTTTAGTGTTTTTAATAAGTCCTATTAATGTACACTGTAAATCTGAACTAGTGAAATCGTGTTTGCAGGTCCACGTGGATGTAGGGCACATTTGTGTCTGAACCACATTAATTCCTTGTGTTCATTTATTTGCTTTAAGTAGTTTATAACTGTGTTAACACAAGAATTATAGTTGTAACTGAATACTGTTTCCATAACTTAACTGTTACAACTTAGGTTAATTGATTTCTATAGGCATATAAATCAACAATTGGCATCAAGAGCCTCTCACTAGATAAACATAGTGTGTGATTTTGGGAATTTGATTTATTTGCCATTTTCTTCCATAGGTACTATGAATGCTCATATGGAAGGCGGTTCCACGACTCGCCCACCACTGCTTACTGGAACCAATTACTCTTATTGGAAGACCAAGATGAAGATGTTCATCAAGTCAATGGATGAAGATGCATGGCGCACAGTTCTGACTGGCTGGAAACGACCTGTTGCCACAGATGAAAAAGGAATTCAAACTGAGAAACATGAAAAAGACTGGAGCAAAACTGAACAGATTGCCGCAAATATGAATTCCAAAGCATTGAATGCCATATTCAATGGAATTGATATCAATCAATTCAAAATCATCTCAGCATGTGAGTGTGCCAAAGAAGCATGGGAAAAACTTCAAACAGCCTATGAGGGGACTACCTCTGTTAGATTATCAAAACTTCAGATGCTTGCTACTCGTTTTGAGGATCTTCGGATGGAGGAAACTGAAACCGTGAGCGATTTCAACTCCAAATTATGCGACATCGCAAATGAAGCCCATGGCCTCGGTGAAACTTACCCTGAAGTAAAACTTGTTCGTAAAGTGCTAAGATCTATGCCATACCGGTTCGCATATAAGGTCACTGCTATAGAGGAAGCAAGTGATGTGGACTCATTGAGGCTTGAAGATCTGATCGGAAATCTGCAGACCTTTGAAAACAAGCTGAACATCAGTAGAATGGATAAAGAGAGAAAAATCGCTTTACAAACTGTGTCTGTTGTGACACCATCCGTGCCCCTAGCTCCCATGACAGCACTCGAAGTCAAGCTAACAAAATCCATGTCTCTAATAGCCAAAAACTTCGGAAAACTCGTGAAAATGAATGGACATCCCAGAAGTCCTACAAACAAGCAAGAAGTTAGGAAGGTGATTCGATGTAGAGAATGTCGTGGCTATGGTCATATTCAATATGAATGTGCAAACACTCAGAAGAAGCAAGGAAAATCACTTGCTACAACCTGGAGTGACGATAACTTTGAATCTGATGATGAAAGTGAAGCAAGTGATGCTGAAACTAGTATTGACTTCTGTGGTACTTGCAGGGTTACTGACGTGACACAAGATGTTGTCACATGCACTGAACCACCACACCTCAGGTATGCTACTCGTAATCTCGAGAATCATAGAAATTTAAACACAATTCTTTTGCCCACAGGAGAAGAAGATTCAGAGGATGATGAAGAATGCTCCATTGAGATGATTCAACAACAACTGAATGATCTTCTAAAGCAATGTCATGAGGTTGGTGATGAAAACAAGCGTTTGAAGGAGAAAGTAAAGGAACTGGAAGAGGAGAATGAAGCAGTTAAAGTCAACCTGAAGGCCAAAATCGATGAGCTTGAATTGGAAAATGAGGCACTGGAGGTAAAACATGATTTTGCTTTGAAAGATATTGACAATCTAAAAGAATTGCTGAGACATTTGCGAAACAACGATTGCAATAAGACAAGGCAGATCAAGAAAAATCCTCCTCCAATGAAAAATGTTGAACCCTGCCTCAACCTGAAGTGTGAAAACTCCCCTGTCGCAACAACGTTAGAGGCGTCAGTCAGTAAGTTAAATCGCACTACGATTCTTACTTCAAACAGGTTAGATGAAATTTTAAATGCTCATCCCTCAAATCCTGATAAACTTGGTCTTGGCTATATTGGGAGTAAGTTCGATGGTAAACCTAATCCAAATCGAAAAATAAATTTTGTGAATAATACTGTCAAACCTACTCCACAACATGTTGCCTCACAGTCTTATACAAAAAAGTCTGTGCCAACTTGTCACTTCTGTCACAAAGTAGGACATGTTAGGCCAAAATGCTTTAAAAGATGGAAATTGATAAATAAGAGTTTAGCATATCAATCATCCAATTCCGCTGCATGGGATCACAATTCCCAAAGAAGATACTCTGATAATAAATGGATGAATAAGTATAATGCAAACTGCTTTCCTGCTATTCTTTCTTTAAAAGCATGTACTATGAACTCTTGGTATTTTGATAGTGGTTGCTCCAAGCATATGACAGGTGTACCTAATTACTTAAAGAACTTGCATAATGTGTCTGGTGGACAAGTTACTCTTGGTGATGGAAACAAGGCCTTTGTGAAAGGAGAAGGTAACTTGGATGTTGGAGGATTACCTAACCTTGACAACGTTCTGTATGTAGAGGGTTTGAAATCAAACCTACTCAGCGTAAGTCAGCTATGTGATCTATACGACTCAGTGTTGTTCACCAAGCGTAAGTGTGAAGTGTTTGATCGAAACCACGGGTGTGTTCTATCTGGTTATAGATCATTTGATAATTGTTATAAAATTGATCAAACTGACCAAGTTGAACAGTGTCCCCTCGCCACCTCTGATATCACAGATATGTGTTGTCATCGACTGAGGAATTTGAATTATCAGGATCTAACAAGAAATATTAATGCAGGTTGTGTGAAAGGTGTTCGCCAACTAAACTCCAATACACCAGATTTATGTGGCGAATTTCTAATGGGGAAACAAACTGAGAGTATTGGAAGAGAAATACCAGAAGACAAAATCACAGAAGTATCAGTACCGACATCTTATGTCACAACTGAAGATGTTACCACTGGTAAAGAAGGTATGAAAACTTGCACCGGGAAATGGTCAGGTATGTCTATCTCACTTCCACTGTTGAACCAAAAAACATTAAAGAAGCAATTCTTGATGAATTTTGGGTGTTAGCCAAGCTTGAGGAACTTGAGCAGTTTTCTCGAAATGACATGTGGGAACTGGTTCTGAGCAATGACAAGGTAAAGCAATTAGATGGTGAGATATTTATCTCACAGAGCAAATATACCAATAACGTGGTAAGTAAATTTGGGTTGAAAAAGGCAAAGCCTTTAACAACACCAATGACCCCAATTGAGAAGTTGGGACGAGATTGTGAGGGCACAGACGTTGATTCCACACTATACAGGAGCTTGATAGGAAATTTGTTTTATCTTTCTGCTAGTAGATATGATATTTGTTTCAGCGTAGATATTTGTGCTAGGTACCAAGCAAGCCCTAAAGAGAGTCATTTGAGTGCTGTAAAGCGCATTATCCGAT